AAAGGGAAATATCTAAGGTTTCAATATAAAAAAATATTATTTTGATTTGTTAATATTTGAAAAAGTTATGGCAGTTTTAAGAACAAAAAACATCCTTATAGAAGGTGATTTTTATCGCAAATATTACATTTTTTTTAAATTTCGACAGCAATTTGCACATAGTAGATAAGGTGTCGGGACAAACTTTTTTATTTTATTTTATAGTACATAAAATAAGTTTTAATTTTATATATGTTTAAAGGACGCAGTATTTCCGGAACACTTTCAAAAGTTAAATTGAAAAAGTTCTATTTTTTATACAATGTTTCAAGTTTTGAACGCCCCCAAAGTATGTCAAATGAAAGATGTACTTATAATGTATTTAGAAAAAAAAAATTTGTGCTGATAATTACATTTTTCGAAAAGTTATAGCATTTTTAAGTTGAAAATTTAAAATTTAAAATTTAAAATTTTAACACAAAAATAGTGTTTTTTTAACTACGGCAGCCGTTTACATGCAGAAGATAAAGTGTCGGGACAAAATTTTTTTTTTTCATTTTGTAGTACATAAAATAAGCATTAATTTGTTATATGTTTAAAGGACGCAGTATTTCTGGAACATTTTCAAAAATTAAGTTGAAAAAGTTAGTTTTTGTAAAAAAGTTGCTATTTTAAATCCCCCGCAATGAGCAGGTTAAGTGTTAGATTTTCAAACAAATAATATCAAATGAAAGGGAAATATCAAAGGTTTCAATATAAAAAATTATTATGTTGATTTGTTTATTTTTGAAAAAGTTATGGAAGTTTTAAGAAAAAAAAGTGAAAAAAATGACAAAATTTACCGATTTTTAAATTTGTAATTTTTTTGGATATTTCCCCCATTTGTGGGGAACGAGGGAAAATTTATTAATTTCTAAGGGTAATGTCTTCAACTAGATACGATTTGTGATCTTTTGACGTATTGTTGAAAGAAATCGTTTCAGTGAGAGCTAAGAAAAAGTGGTAACAGACACAAAAAAAAAACACATCATAGTAAAATTAATACCTTCTCAGCTTCTCATTGAATATTAAAGATATTATTTTCGTCATTGATACAGGAGCGAGTACAATCATTATAAATCAGAATTATTTATCCAGTGATCATATTATTTATCCACTTAATAATGTTATATTAACTACAGCTAATGGATCAAATTATCATGTGGTAGGTAAATCTACTTCAGAGGTAAAGTTTGAAAGATATATATTTTTGATAGACTTTACCGTAGTCTTTAAATAGTTTATTAGGACATGATTTTTTTAAAAATATAGCTTGACAATCTACACCCGAGAGGCTAAAATTACTTTATTAAAAAACGATGAAAGAGTGATTATAAATTTTGGTTACAATAACAATATCTTGACATTCAATACAAATATTGATCAGCAAAAAATATTCGACCACTTAAAATCTATCAACTCATGATTAATCATTCAATAAATCTTGTACAGTTGAGTGTTAGTGAAATTTGCCGCGAAAAGCGACATTTTAACACAAGTACCACCAGACGGTTGGTGTGGAGTATCATCACTCGAAGCAGTCTTAAATAATAAAGTTATAGATATTAATGCTTATGAAATTAAAAAATTATTAGGAATTTATCTATCGGATAAGCCAATTTATTTAGAATGTGAAGACTTAGCAGCTGTTACAAATTATTTTGGTTTAGGCTTAATAATTATATCAGAAAACAATAATATTAATTCTGTATTACACTTTACAAACCCTAATAAATCGTTTGTAATGGTTTTGTTTTCAAATTGCCATTGAACACCCTTAGTTTACAATCCAATTGCTAAATTATTTCGCACATTTCATAGTATTATTCAAATTAATGAATTTAATACTTTATTTTGTTAAACAATTTTACATTTGTATAATTAATTCATAGTATGAGATTCATACTAAGAATTATAACTAAAAAAAATTTAAATTGTTTATATTTGTTGTGGAAATTTTTAGAATGCAATATGAACTAATTAATGAATATAAATAAAATAATTGCTATTGTACATATATTTTCTTACAAAATCTCATTTATATGTCGCATATCAAAATAGCTTACCTGGAAAATGCATTTTTTTTCGCCTTAAAAAACCTACATTTAATATATACTACACAGCCGCCTACTGCGTTATAATCCAAACAAATAACTAGTTATTATCGAGGTGGACATAATGCCATTGCACTCAGACCTGTTGGTCCATTGTGTGCAAAACAAATAACTAAATAATAAATATATTCAGTTTTTTAACAAATTAGCCGAAATCAACATTTTTACGTACTATCTTTATCTAAAATGAAAATAATTGGCGATACTGTATGGTTAATTTTGAAGTATCTTATTCGATACAGCGCGCACCTTGGGGATATGCTTACCACTACCCCGACGGGCGTGCATCATATGATTATCACGCTAAGTTGACCGTTGCCGCAGTTTGCGGCGGCAAACGTTGTGATTCACACCACCTCTCAACACCGTCATCAGGGCGGTTACACTACTTATGGCTTATATAACCCGTCTTCGTCGACGACGATGGCGCATCGACAGATGTCGATTACGCAATATATCGCGCAACCGTTTGACGTACAACTATCGTTGTAGGGTGTAGGCAGAGGAAAAGTCTTTAAAATTATCGCATATGACGTATCGACTTTGAGGATTGGACGAGAGGCACGCGTTGCTGCATACGTCAGACCAACCACTACGTAACGCCAACACACTATTTTTCGACTTGACCAATTGCAATTGACTCTAATTAATCATTTAATTACCCATTAACACTCTTAATTTATTACTTTTTGATGACGTATGACACTAATTATCATGGCGGCATCCTTTGATCCCCAGAACCCGCTTTTTACATACTATTATTATAGCCGTACATTTGTTGTTAATAATAAACAGACAGCGTCGCAATTTTTCTCTTAAAATTCAGATTCCTATGAGCTTTATAAAATGTTGACACCTTTGATGTTGGAAATATGATCATCTAAGCGTCTGATGGCCGATGATAAAATTCTTAGAAAACGTTTTTAGTTTAAGAAGGGTATCATCCTTATATAATTTTGGACATAAGGGTCCTTATTGTAATTTCTAGTCTAAATGTGATATTTTTTCTAAGCTGTGATATTTGTAAATCTTT